TATATCCAGTATGATTGACGTGTCCTTTTTGTATTGTGAATTGATATGAGCTCTCATACTTTTGATATTGAGAGTATATTAAGATTATTCTAGACTCACAGACGGCAATGAGCCAAACCAGCGTCCCAGTAGGTATCTAAGAAAAGAGCAAGAGGAAGAAATCGTACTCAAGAAGTGAAGGCAGTGGGGTGGTGGAGATCAACGAGTCCGTAAAGATAAAGACGAAGAGGAATGGTGAAGAACATGCTATGAACATGAGCCGGCAATGAAGGCGACATCTCCACAAGCATTCAATGTGCACCAAGGAGGGGGTATAATAAGTTAAGAATTAAAGATAGGTAGGGTAGACAGGGACGGAACGAAAGAGAAAAGGGGGGCCCACGAGGGATTCATAAGATGAGGTAGAAAAGACATTGTCGAAAGGGAGTGGTCAAAGCAGTAGCGAGGGTGGAGGGAGAAGGATACTGGGATAGGTTTCATGGACTCAAAAGACACGCCGAAGAAAATCTTTGAAAAAAAATATATCTTCCACCTCATAAAGATGATAATAAGCACCCAGGTGGAAAGTAACACTTTGCCATTTGAGTTTTCATAAAAACCGTTAGTCCTCGAAGGGACAGTCGATGCTCTCATGGCCGTCTCGCTCACATAGAGCACACCATTTGGTCTCATCAATAACACCCGATGCCTTGCCCGCCACTGGAGACATAGACGAAGTCAGACCTCCAATGCTTTTCAGCCCTTCGAGGACTGCATCTCGACCGGTCTTCTGGGTTGTTAACGGGGCCGGCTCATCCGAGTCATAAACGGTTGGCGTCTCATCCGGGATGGAGGAGTTGGGAGTGTCCTTTCCATCTAGAGACGGGCTGTCGCTCGTCTTTTCCACCACTTCGCTGTGACCGTTGGTGGCCGTAGCTTCAGCGGGGGCGGGGGCGGTGGTTGTAGCTCCAGCGCCGAACATGTTGGTGCAGTTCAGGATGTCGTGGCCGCCGGTCTCGCAAATCTCACACCAGAGTGAGTTTCCATCGTCCGAAGACGGGCTGTCGGATTCGTGCATCGTTTCTAGACGGTGGTGAGAGCCCTCCGAGGTCGTCCGATGGTGGTGCGCACCGAATGCTTGCGGTGGGCCACCCTCGAGATCATGCCAGTCTCCCGGGACAATCGTCCGGTCTGATAGTCGATGGGCATGATGGGCCACGGCGGGGAACTTCACATTACCGGATGAACCGGACGGTTTGTGCTGCTTCGGGGTCGAAGGGCTAATGGTCGAGCTACGGTTGCGACTGCGACTGCGAGTGGTACTGTCTTCATTGATCTGCAGTTGCTGCAGCTCACGTTCCAGTTCCTCGATGCGGTAGTTCTTGTTGTCGGCGAGCTCCTCAAACTCCTGGAGGCGCTGTTCCAGGCGGGCGACGTGGTCAGGGTCAAGGTGTTCATCAACGGCTCCGGGCCTACCTCCAGTCGCCAGGCCATTGGGATGGAGCATGGCCACGCTGGGATCCCCGCGGCTGAGGGAATGGATGATGGCCTTGAGGCCGCGGATCTCGTCATCCTTCTGGTCCAGTTCCCTCGAGTATCCATGGCCCACACCCGAATCCTCGACATCTTTGAGCGCCGCAGCGGAGCTGTCTCGCTCCTTTTTGAGTTCGAGTTTTGTCCGCTCGACCTCACCGCGCAGAAACTCAACTTCAGCGCGGGCCTCAGCCTCGCCGCGCCGGGCATCCTCCAGTCCTTCCTCAAGTTCTGAGACCAGCTCCTCCAGCTGCTTCAGCTGCCGGGCGACTGTCTCCACGTCCTCTCCGCGGTCCTGTAGCTCCTTGTTCTGCTGCATCAACTCGTCGAGGCGCTGCTCGTAGACCCGCTCCGTCTCGGACGCGGCCACTTCCAAGGTATCAAGGGTACTTCGGAAATCGGCCCGGTGGCTGTCGAATTCGGCAGTCAACTGTGCGATCTTGTCGTTCTTTTCGCGCAGCTGGGCCCGGATGGACAAAGCATCGGACCCTTCAAACTCCTCGATGGTCCGCTGGAATTCTGCCAGCGTCGAGGCCTGCTCGTCGAGCTGCCGGTCCCTCTCCATCAACTGCGTCTCCAGACTCCTAACTTGGTCTTTCAGGTCTTGTATCTCCACCGAATTCGCGTTCCGTTGTACATCTGAAGTCCGGGCGGACACGGGGAAATCGTCATCGGCCACGGAGCTCATCCGGGATGGAGCTCGATCAGACAGCCGCGAGGGAGCCTTGAGTGGGCTCCGGGGAAAGCCGTTCGGACTGGGACCTTGTCGAGCCGACGCCGAGGGCGTCCGCAGCCCGCCCAGGCTCAGCTTGGGTGGTGGCAGCGGCGGTTGCGTGGTTCGCGGCGACTCCGGTCTGGGGAGCGAGGGCTGCCGCATACGCGGGCGTGGCATCGAGGGGGTGCCTGGACCAACGGACTTGCTGAAATTGACGGGGGCAGCCGCCCGCACAGGCGTCGGCGGCGTCCCTGAGGAGCGTCTGGTGACGTATTTGTTGTTGTTCATGGGCACGAAGATGCCTGACCCGGGCACACTCGTGGTGAAGTATTTGCGGCCGTCGACATCACCACTATTCTTCCCCCTCTTCGCATGCTCCACGGCGAGCTCGATGCCTGCAAACCGACCCGGTTTGCCGGCCACAGCCCCCAGATATTTGATCGTCCCGTGCATGCCCCCAGGGACGTTCACCAGGTCGCCCACCTGGATGTCGTCGACAGCGGGCGCCATCGAGAGGTAACTTGAAACGGTCGACAGGGGGAAACAAAGAAGATGGAAAAGAAAATAAAGGAATCGAAGAAACCACGAAACAATAGAACCGACAGTCAAAAAAAAAAAGGGATGGATAGAGGAGCAGTGACAAGGAATGGGTCAGCCCAATCGTGATGAACGCATGGCGATCTCCCTATCGGAAGGGCCTTTTTTTCCCTGTCGTTCGACGTTGGGCCTGAACCGGTGGATCAAGACCCAGAGGCAAAGAGAGCCGCCTAACGAGGAGTCTCCAGGACTGATCGACCAGGAGGAGCAGCCTGGCCACACGGCTTGACTGCAATAGACAATAGATATTATTATTTAGAAAGGGGGAGTCAAACACGACGCTGAACCATGGTCAGGACTCAGGCCTGCCCCGTCCAGCGAGTGCGTATGCATTATATAAGCCGGCCTCCACCAGATCGTCTGAAGTGTCCCGGGGCATGTCTCTCCTGTGCAGCTCCCTTGAACCACTGGTCACAGCTGCTCTGGTTGTGTGATTGTCTTGCTTGTGGTCTGTCCGATCGAGTCTGACTGAGATCTGCGCTGTTTTGGGTACTTTCTGGCGCGACAAGGGGAGTTCTTTGTGGTACAGAGAAATACGGTCGGGTCGCCAGCGACGCTGCGAGGTCCACGCGTCATCCAGCAATCGAACACTTGATTGCTTCTCGTCTCCTTTCCACTCGAGTGTTTTTTATTTTTTTTATCTATCACAATGGCGCAGTACTTCTTCGACCTGCTATACAACTTCACGGACTGCATGTGTTGCTTTCCGAGCTCGCCGCAGCTGAAGATCAACAACCGGAGTTTCAAGCTGCTGCGTCTCCTGGGGGAGGTATGTATGGCGTCTCCTTGCTGGGGAGATTGGATGTTTTATCTCTTTTGGCTACAATGGGTTACTGACTGTCTTGTGATAGGGCGGCTTCTCCTACGTTTATCTCGTGCAAGATAAGGCGACCTCCGAGCTGTTTGCGCTGAAGAAGATTCGGTGTCCGTTCGGCCAGGAATCGGTGTCGCAGGCGCTGAAGGAGGTCGAGGCGTACAACCTGTTTGTGACGCAGGCCAACATCATCCATTCGATCGATCACTGCGTCTCGACCGAGCCGGGCTCCAAGTTTCGTGCCGATGGCGGTGATGGCGCGTCCAAGACGGTGTACATTCTGCTGCCTTACTACCAGCGCGGCAACTTGCAAGATGCCATCAACGCGAATCTGGTCAACCACACCCGGTTCCCGGAGAAAAGACTGATGGTCCTGATCCTTGGGGTGGCAAAGGCCCTCAAGGCGATGCATCAGTACCGCGTGCGCAGCGGTGCTGCCTCAGTCCGCAAGGGCAAGGCGGTTCGCAGGGAGGGTGAGGCTGCCGACGAGGACCAGGCCCGCATGGCAAAGCCAGCCCGTCGGGGGACTCACAATGTAGATGAAGAGGAGGAAAACGAGCCCTTGATGGACGACGAGCTTACGCAGAGTCAAGAGGGTGTGCGCGACGGTGACCTGCGGCCGTACGCCCATCGCGATATCAAACCAGGTAAGTCATTATAGTCTTGGGAGCCAAGTCTCAGTAGACAGCAATTTTAAACGTACATAGGCAATATTATGATCGACGACGATGGCCAGTCGCCCATCCTGATGGATCTCGGGTCGTTGGCTCCCAGTCCGATCGCCATCACCTCGCGGTCCCTCGCGATTGCGGTCCAAGACACTGCTGCCGAGCACAGCACGATGCCATACCGGGCACCGGAGCTATTTGACGTCAAGACCGGCTCCATCATCGACACCAAGGTGGACATCTGGTCGCTGGGCTGCACGCTCTACGCCTGCCTGGTCGGGAAGAGCCCTTTCGAGGCTCGCAGCGAGGAAACTGGCGGCAGTTTGAGCATGTGCGTGCTCGGCGGCGACTGGCGCTTCCCGGATGAAAAGACGGGCCATTTATCCTCACCAAAGGGTAAGGGTAGGACGGGCACTGCGGATGTGACGGCTGCCGGGGAAAACAGCGGCAGCTCGCAGCGGTCGATCAGCGAGTCCGTCAAAGATGTGGTGCGCAAGTGCTTGCAGGTCGAGCCCGCAGACCGTCCTGACATCGAAGAGCTGATCCAGATACTCAACAGCGTGATCGACGGGCTTCCGGATGACGATGAGCTTGGTTCCTCGATTTGATTTTCTTCCCCCCCCCCCTCTCTTTCCCATCCCATTTTTCTCCTATTCTGTCGTTCCATTCAGATCGTGATATCCGCCTCGAAGTGTATAATATAGGCTTGGGCAGCGAGTTTCATTCCCTCCTTCCCCCCTGTTATCCTTTTATCTCATTGGCTTCTGTTTATATGTCTACAGCCTGCCGCCCTTCCCTTGTGACTTTTGCCATGATATCAATCAATTGGTGTTTTGTGAATCAAAATCAAAAATATCCTACTCCTGACAGTATTAAATGATATGCCAGTAAATAATTTATATTGACAGCAGTTTGTGATTAGATAGCATGCGCAAGACGTAATCCGCCGGCCTCACAATGACGACAACCAGGACCAAGGAACGGCAGTTCATCCCCGGCTACATCGCTAAAGAGGCAACATGTTTGAAGGGAAACTCCTACAATTCCCATATGATAAGTAAATTGAACAGTTGATCAGCATGCGCCGGTTTTTCAAAGCAGATACCAAGGGTGTGGACGTGGGCAAGGCCTTCCGTCACCAAGTGAAGCATAAAACCTGTAAGCGAGAGCGTTCGAGATATCAAAGATCCTACCTAAGTCTTACTGATTTGCTTGCTATTTGGCAGTTCTCCTGCTCGGAGCCCGCCATGTCAACCTAGCTGCCATGACCGCCGAGTCCCTGGCGGAATGTGAGGCAGCGGCGCTGATTCTTGTCGGCCAGACGCAGGAAGAGCTGCAGCCGGTCATCGACGACATCAACCACCGGTTCCCCAAGGTGAAGGTGATTTTCATCGCGGCGGACCTGGGGCGCCTGGATACGATCCGCGCCGCGGCGGATAAGCTGCGCAGGCTCGAAGTGCCCATCGACGGGATCGTAGCGAACCCGACTCTCTTTGGGGCGCCGTGGGTGACCACCGCGGACGGCATCGAGTCCCATTTCCAGGTCAACTACCTTGGCCACTTCCTGCTAGTCAACCTTGTCCTGCCACTGATGCCTGCCGAGTCGCGCGTGGTCATGGTCAGCAGCAGTATTCGGACCGAGGCAGCGCCGCCCTCATTTGACAACATGAATTTGACAGTAAGCATGACGCAAATCCGAAAAAAAAAAGCATAGCTAGTATAAAGGGAACTGAGAGGATAGGACGAAACCATGTATCATCCCCTGGACGCACTCGCCGAGTCCATGTTCGCCAATATATTGTTTGCAAAGAGTCTTGCGCGCCGTTTAGCGAAGCGGTCAATAGCTGCGTTCTCTGTGAACCCTGGCAGTGAGTTTCACTATCCCCGGGGCAAAGTGGTTAGCAGCTGAGAGTTCGTCAGATATCAGATCCAATATCCAAACTTATGTCTCAATGGACGAAATTGGTTCGTGGTTGCAGAAGAAGAAAGAGGGTGTGTGCTGGTCCTCCATACTCCCAAATCTCCATCATCATCGTCATAAACACAACCGTCAAGCTGACCATCCGCAGCGAGAGAAGACCTACCGCTTCTTTTGCAACAAGCTCCCAAATCCATGTCCCAGAGCAGCTCGACCGTCCTTCGCGGCCTGCTCGATCCATCGCTGAAAGGCAAGAATATCCCCGCTTACCCAAACCCCCCTCCCCCACTCCTTGTGCCACCACAGCTGGCTAATAGTAATCTGTTTTGATACCCACGCTTTGCAGATCATTCGGGCGCCTTTCTCGACAACTGCCAGGTTGTTTCCCTCCCCAAGATTGACTTCCCAGCCGGTGAGACAAGTGCAACTCGGCTCTGGACACGGAGCCAGGAGCTGGTAGGACAAGAGTTTTGTTGGAACGACTGAGCAAAGAGGTCGAGCTTTCCCGGCCGTTTGTACGTATCTCTTGTTATCTAAGCGTATGATATGCTGTGTAGACGTCAATGGCCAGTCTTCCTCGTACTCTGCCGCCGTCTGATAAGAGAAGGTCCACGGAGACACTCCGTAGTAACAGTAGCTCCTATCTCCATAGATAGACAGCTTATAACTGGCGGTTAGTGAGTTCCACACGATCAACGGGCATCAATAGGTGAGGACAGAAGCCGGTTCGATCCAGAAGCCTGAGGTTTTGTCTCTGAAGATGGTGGATTTTCTACCATTACTTACTTTGTAGGGCGGCCAGTACTACTGCATCTTCCCCGCACCGATAACAGGCCAAACGTCGTCTATGGATACTATCCCTCATCTCTACTTTCGCCTATCTGTCCCGGTGTTTGCTTGTCTATCTGCTTGCGTCATTGGCCCCGAGAGCATCGAGTCTACCAGGTAAGTACAGGATAAAAAGTGGTTTTGGCAGGGGTATAAGACTGACTGATGGTTGTCGAGACTTCTTTCTCTACTGCAACGATGATAAGACAAAAGACGCAAGGATCTGGCCGATCTACCTCCCTTGGTATATATTAGGCTTGGGTAAACGGATATTTTGAACCGAGAGACAGTCAGTCCTGCTTAGACACTTCCAGTTCCGTTGTCTTGGTTGCAGAAGAGTTTCTTGCCCCCCATGATAGAACCCGCAGACAGCAGTGCCATCCCGGGCACTATCACTCTTGTTGACATCAATCATGTCTTGACGGCTCGGCATCTAGACCACGGCGATCATGATATTATCTTGGTGCCGGCTCCTTCAGACGATCCGGAAGACCCTCTCAATTGGTCTCCAAGGCGGAAGCTGATGTCGACCATCAGCGTCAACGTGTGAGTAACTCCCCCCCTCCCTCCTCCAGAGCCCCTGCATTTGGATGATATGGTGTTTCTGATCTGATTTCTGTCGGTCTATAGATATACTCTCTTCAACGGAATCGCCTGTTCAGTGGTATACTCGGTTCTGACCTCTCTGTCGGACGCGTCAGGGGTCTCCGTTGATACTCTCAATGATGGGACTGGGTATATGTTTTTGCTGGCAGGATGGGGCCTGTTGTTCTGGCAGCCGTTTGCAATGCAATATGGCAAGCGACTGACGTATATCTTGTCACTACTAGGTATTGTTGTAAGTATACCTCCCTTAGACAGCGAGGCTACAGCTGCTAATTTCTTCCCTCTTGGTAGGCCGTATCAGTCTGGAGGTAAATTTAAAAAGCAACCTTCATTGCATTGCTCTCCATCTACTTCAACCTTGATACTGACAAATATAGTCCGCATTGCAGGACCAACGGCCAATGGGTGGCTCGGAGCATCCTATCTGGCTTTTTCACTGCTCCCATCGAGGCACTGCCTGAAATTTCGGTTACCGACGTCGTGAGTATGAACCCTGAATTCCGATATGCGTCATATTGACCTAGTAGTATTTTACCCACGAACGGGGCACGTACATGGGTCTCTATGCGCTCTTCCTCGCTGGAAGCAACTACTTCGCACCTGTGATCTGTGGCTTCATTGCCCAGTACCAGAGTTGGGAATGGGTATTTTATTATCCCGCCATCTTTGCCGCAGTGGCAGTTGTCTTTCTCTTCTTCTTCATGGAGGAGACCAACTACGACAGGACCCCCGCAGTAGCTACTGCGGTCTCTTCAGGGGTTCTAGAAGAGTCCTCTCCTGACGGCTCGACACATGGAGATCCTGAGAAGTTCGCTGCTGCCTCTGAACAGCGTCCTTCTTCGGAGGCAGGAGTCGGTAAAGTTTACGAGAAGAAATCATACATTCGAAAACTGTCACTCTTGGGGCCAAAGCAGAAGCGAAACAACATGGGCAGACGTTTCTGGCAGACGCTTTACTTTCTGTCGTGGCCCGTCGTCTTCTATGCTGGGTGCGTCTTGAGCCAAACTGCATGTTGAGATTACGAATCTATTATCTGACCACCAACAGCTTCTCGTACGGGTCGTATCTGATCTGGTTCAATGTTCTTAATGGGACGGCATCGATTATTCTCGGAGGCGCACCATACAACTTCAGGTACCACCAAGTCGAAGATTGAGATTCGTCGTATCCACCATTGCTGATTGCATATAGTACCTCCATGGTGGGCCTCAGCTATGTGGCATGTCTCGTTGGAACCGTCTTTGGGTAAGTGTACACCCTTGACAAGTCCTGGGAAATCGTTCATCTCTAAACCCTGCGGAAGATCCCTTTTCACCGGCCGCTTCAGCGACTGGCTCACTATCCGGCTTGCCCGCCGCAACAAGGGCGTCATGGAGGCCGAGCACCGGCTCTGGCCCTTTATCTCATGTGTCATTGTTGTGCCTGCCGCTCTGCTCCTTTGGGGTGTTGGTGCTGCGCATGACATCTTCTGGTTCGGACTCATCGTCGCAATGTGCGCGCTGGCATTTGCAGGCACGTGTGGCATCACGCTTAGTGTCAATTACCTTGTAGATAGCTACCGCGAGCTCAGCGGGGATGCCATCTCCTCGATCATTTTAGTTCGAAACACCATGTCTTTTGCGGTGAACTACGGGTGAGAGGAGTCCCTGCAGCAGAGAAGAGAAGAAACCTTATAATTGAGAGTCTAACCGCTGACATACTATTCTGATAGAATCACCCCCTGGATTGATAACATGGGATACCAGAACTGCTTTGTTTCCGCCGCATTTGTTGGAATGGCCGCCTGCGCTGTCTTCCTGGTGATGATCAAATGGGGGAAGGGCTTTCGCATCAGGTCGCGGGAGAAGTACTGGAAGATTGTGGCTGAGAATCAAGCACTAGGAATGGGTCATTAGCTATGCTAAACAGTTCAACCCATAGAAAGATGATTTGGTTTATTGGGCTTGAAATGGGTTCCATGGTAGTCCAACAAGCATAACTCTATGATACACACTACATGAACACCGGTGTCATAGTAAAATGGCTAAACAGATCTGCTAACAAATCAGCTCAATGGAGTGAAAAGCCTTGAATAAGAAAGGGGGAGAGAGAGGAAGAGAGAGAGAATCAACGCCCCCCCGCCTTCCACCTTAAGAGGATATCAGGATCCTCCTCGCTCGCCCTCGCCAAGCACTCCAACCACTCCCGATCCATCCTTGCCAACATCTGCTCCTCTGTTTCTGTTTCCTGACTCTGCAACAACGACGATGACGACGAAGAACCCTGCTGTTCACACCCATCGAGATCCATCATCCCGTCCACCGGACTCTCACAATCCCGTAAGCCGATGAATCGCCCGAACCGCCGCCGCTTCGTCTCGAGATCGACGTGCAACTCGTGTGCGGTGCCCACCCAGGCCGTCACGGGATTCGGATAGCAGCTCGTGGTCGGGACGGGAGGCCAGACTTGGTGGTAATGGCGGGCGAGACCGTCGAGTTGCGCAGAAGTCAGGACATGGAAAGCTAGTAAGCTTGTAGGGAACTCTGGGTGTGGGAGGCCGGTCGTTGCAGAGACGAGGGGGAAGAGACGGGTGCGCAAATGGTCCACGATGGGGGAGAAGTAGGGGTGGAAGCGGGAGGAGGAGGAGGAAGAAGAAGAAGAAGGATTCTGGTCGGTTCCTATCGGGGAGGAGGATGATGATGATGTTGGAGCGACGAAGACAGGGAACGGCGGCTGGTGCATGGCATTGGGGGACTCGGGAGAGTGTGGTGAGCTTGGATCTAAGAAGAGACGGGGAATGGAAGTGCCTTTCTTGCCGGCCATTATTATTTAAAATATATGAGATAAGTTCAGCCTAGTGATATTCAGATTGTCTGGTTGATTTGATGTACTTGAGATAATTCTGGATGGATTGAAGGCAGGATGGTGGGCATATATAAATAAGTCCTGTACTCCGCGGCTAGACAATAGAGATTGTTCCTATAAAAAGATGAAACACGCAACATTTCCTATAGACACCCCTCTTTATCTGGCAGTCAGTTTCTCTGATGAGCTCTTTGTCCAGGAGGGCTTCATGGACGGCCGTCCATAGGCGGAATCAGAAATTTTTCTTTGTCTACCAAAGGATTTCCAAAGGAAAGAAAAAGCGAAAAAAAAAAAGAAAAAGAGAAAGGAGACAGGACAAGCAACGATCATGTTCGAGGAACTTCATGTTTCATCATTTCTTTCTACTCGTTGAAAGGAAATAAAATCCCTTCCGAGACTCGTAAGAAACCCCCTTTACTGAAGGGACAAACCGGCGACGCCAGGGTCTACTTCGGTTTGTTGGTCGGCAAGGAAGTTGTTGCCTTTGCTGATAGGCGGCAGTCCGACATATTTGTTGATCCAGTTCAAGACTGTTTGGTGCCAGACCAAAGAGTTTTCTGGCTTCAGGACCCAGTGGTTCTCGTCGGGGAAGGTCAGGAATGCACTCTCCACGCCACGCATCTGGAGGACATTGAAGGCGCCCAGACCATCGGAGATCGGGAGCCGGTAGTCGAGCTCGTTGTGGATGATCAAGTGAGGTGTCTCCCAATTCTGGGTGAACCGGGCAGGATCCCACCGATCCCAATTCTCGGGCTTTTTCCAAAATGGCCCTTCAAGGTCGTGGAGGGGGAAGTACTGCTCTTCACTTGCCAGGGCATTGGTCAAGTTGAAGATGCCGTCGTGGGTCACCAGGGCCTTAAATTTGCGTCCAAGTGAGTGGCCCTGCATCCAGTTGACCATGAAGCCTCCGTATGAGGCTCCGAGCGCCACCGCCCGACTCGTATCGACATAATTGAGGTTCTTCTCGATATGTTCGAAGCCCTTTTGGATATCGATATATGGGAGTCCGCCCCAGGACCCTTTTATGGCATCCGTGAAATCTTGTCCATAGCCGGTGCTACCGGTGGGATTGGGTGTGATCACGACGTATCCCTGTTCCGCGAAAACTGCCGGGTTCCAGCGCGTGCTCCACTGGTCATTCCAGGCTCCCTGTGGCCCTCCGTGGATCAAGTAGGCCAGCGGATATTTTTCGCCTGGTTTAAAGTTCGAGGGCTTCACCACCCAGGCATGCACGGGATGGTCATTCGCTCCCTTGAACCAGGTCTCGTCGACTTGATGGGGCGAAAGACCGAAAGCCGCGCCATGGCGGCTGTTGGACGAGACTAGCTGTACCTCTCTGGGATTCGCAGGGTCGATAATGGTCCAGGTACTGTTGTCCACCAAGCTACTACTGGAGATAAAGAGCTTGGAAGAATTGGCAGCTGCCGGAGTCACGTCGTTCACGTAGCCAGAAAGGGTGAGTTTCTTCAGGTCCTTCGGGATGGCCCGACGAAAGTTTTCCAGAGAAAGTTGGTAGAGCACTCCCCTGCCCGTTTCCTCAACTTGGATCAACAGAGACTGGTCGTCACTGGCGAAAGAAATGGCCGAGGGGCTCAGATCCCAGAGGCCTCGACCATCGGGAGACTCGAAGATCTCAACTAGTTCCCCGTTCCACGGGTTGGGGACGTACATGATCCGGTTCTTGTCAGACTCGTAGCCATCCTCTTGCATGACCAGCACTGCAAGGGACCCACCGTCTGACGAGAGAACTGGCGACGACATAGCGCCGTCCAGCTTCGACACACGATGTATCTTGACATCCTCTTGTTGCTGCGCGGTACTCAACCCCGTCCACGAGAACATAGGACAGTAATAACACGCACACGCCGTGTGGGTGGCCGGGCTCACTTCGGGGTCTCGGGCGACGAAGACAATCGCCGTCGGACTGAGGTCAAAGTCCCCGGTGCCTCCAAAGGGCGGGATGGGCGATTCGACTCCAGCCAGACCAGAGACGGCAATCAGGTTGGTCAGGCCTGACAGAGAGTATTTGCCTGCCTGGCGACTGGCAGGTGCTAACGGCGTCCGCTGCAGCACGCCATACCAGATGGCGTTCTTCTGAGGCTCAATGTAGGAGTCCCAATGCCTGACAAACAGAGATGTGAACACTCTGCCTGTGCTAAGAGGCTTCTTAGCATCGTGCGGGTTGAACAGCGACCCGTCGGCATTGGCCTTGCCCGTGACTGCGAACCCGATCTTACCAGGCTCGATGACCGTCATCTTCAAGTCCGACACCGGGCCAGGGACCGTGCCTGCAGTGTAGGTTTTATCGGCCTCGCGCGCATCCCCGACGATGAAACTGGTATTGCCGTTGGCCTTCTCCTTCAACCAGACCAGCTGGTCAGTGTTATCCAGCCACCGAGGGCTGCTCGCCCCGGGGTCATTGGTGATGAGAGCCGAGCGACCGGTCGCGATTTCCAACACGCGGATCTCATTAGTCTTGGAATGGGATTCGAAAGAGTACGACGTCTGCGTATACACCGCGAGTGTCCCAGCCGCGTTAGGGAGGGCAGGGGAGCGTCTGGGAGCGCCGAGGAGAACCCTATCCGTTTTGAAAAAAAAAAGGAGTCAGCATTCAGTCAGACAACGAGTTCACCAATAGAGAGACCGGTGAACACCCTCGAGAGCGAGGGACCAAGCTTACTCGGGCGTGAATTTCATCGGTCTGATGGTCATAGCAAGAGGGGTACAAGTGAAAGGACGGGCAAGGGCGAGGGTCGGTGAGAACAGGTCGGAATAAAACAGAGGGACTCGTCGAAAATCACGTCAAGTCACGTTCGAAATGGGGAAGGTTACATCAACAATTCGCGTTGTCTGGGATCTCGCAGGGATGATGATAGTGGTGTTGTTTGGGAGGGGAATCAGGCCATGGGGATTTATTTGGGGGAGGCAACGCCCGCAGCATCCGCAGTTGCGGGGATCGTCGGTTGCAGCCTGGATTGTAATTGAGACATTCCAGACAGAACAGAGAGAGAGAGAAAGAGAGAGAGAGAGAGAGAGAGAGAAACGATGACGAAAGGGAGTACGTGAATATCGAGATGGAAGATAAAAAACCAGATTTCTTTCTGCGACGTGATAGCATATAGTTACAGGCCCATTAACCCAACCGATAAATCGTATTATAGAGCAAGGAACACCACGGATTTCTGGTCTGTAGATCGACCGTCTAGTCCTCCTCTTCCTCTTCGCTCTCGTCTTCTTCCATGCCCTCCGCAGCCGTGACGGTGAAGGTGGGCGCTTGATCGACTCCCACGTAGCTGTCGCTCATCAGGTACAGCGTCAGCTCGTGCTCTCCAGGCGTCGGAACCACATAGTCCAGACGCATTTCCAGTTTCCGTCCGATGGTGACGCGCTTGATCGCCAGGAGACTCTTGGTCTTTTCATCTCCGACCACCAGCCACCAGTTCTCCATCTTCTTGTTAGGGTAGAAGGGCGCGTGCACGGTCGTGTCAGGTTCCTCGTCCTCCTCGACCTCACGCTCGATCTTGATCTTGAGATAAGACGGCTCTCCAGCCGTGACGTTCTCCGGATCTTCCACCACAAAGTCCAGATCAATGTTGGGGTACTTCTCGTTGGTGAATGAGGCGGCCTGGGCGAGCTGCTTGTTATTGAGGCCGAGGCGTTTGACTAGCTCGGGGTAGTCTCTATTCTCAGATGGGTCCATGGCTTCCATGAATTCGAAAATGTCATTGATTCTATTTTCTGTTAGTAAAAAGAGCGGTCTCGGTAAGCGAGAGGAACGGCGAAAAAACATACTTGAATTCATTGGCTCCCTTGATGACCTCGGGCGTGAAGTGAGGAATCTGTTTCAGAGGACTATCGCGATCCCACATAGCCTGGACAACCATCTGGGACATCTCCATGGCATTCATGGCATTGATGTGGCCTTCGGACGAAAGAACGTCGACACAGGCGCTGAGAAGGTTGAGAACCTTGCCGACAATGACTTCCTGGTCCTTGGCCAGATCGATCGGCAGCTGCATGCGAGAGAAGTGTGCTTGAAGCAGGACGAAGGCCTTGAAGTGTGGCGAGTCATACGCGGGCTGCGACATCTTCACAGGGATACGGTCGTACACGCGGCGTAAGATGTGGTCCTCGTGGCGGCGCATCTGGATCGATTCAAACTCAGTGGCAGAGGTGACAATCTCCAAGATACCCTTGAGCTTCGTACGGGCAGTGAGGGAGAGCAAGAAAGTCTGCATGGTAATAAAGGAAATGTTGTAGTACGCAGCGATCATGGCAGCGTTCAGCGGGGCAATCGTGTCGTCCTCTTCGTCCAAATCCATGATCTTCGCCTCAGACAGTTCCTTCAACGTGTTTTCAACCAACTCCGACAAGAACGTACTCAAGCCTTCGTGGCTGACGTCGCTGAGACCGTAGAAGCTGGGGTTGGCAAGAAGGCGACGATAGAAGTACGAATAAGTCATCCAGTCAACAGCATCTTGGGTAGAGGTGATTGTGCGTGTGCTGATCTCGGTCACAAAGGCATCATGCAGGTACATCTGCAGATGACTTTCGACTGGAAGAGCCTCGTTGAGGAATTTCTTGTAGTAGTCGCGCTTCACTGCGGGAACCATGAGGACTCCTCGGCCAACCTTGTCTTCACCAGGTCGAGAGGCTTTGCCGAACATTTGCAGGATCTCACTGATAGGATAGTCGATATACCTATGTTCGCGACCCTCATAGAACTGTGTATTCATGACGATCACCAGATGAGCATTGAAATTGATCTCCCAGCAGACATCCCTCGAGGCGATGACAACCTGAATCGCACCGATTGTAAACAGATGCGAGACAATGCGTTTATCGGTTGCGCTCAGGGCCTCGTGGTAATATCCGATACCGTGAGTCAGCGACTCGGCAAGTGTCAACTCCTGCACACGCCCAAGGAGCGGAGCGAGCTCATCGACGTCAGCATGCAGGAATCGGTCTTCGTCATCATCAGCTGCGCAGGCAGCCAGAAGATCCATCGCTGTGGAGCGGGTTTGCTTCCGGCTCGGTACGAAGAGTAGCGCAGGCTTATCTGGGGATAGCTGAAGGATTGAATGATATGCGGGCTTCGCCATCGCCAGCATGAGAGACGGGAAATGCGGGATGGTGAACGACTGGATATGAAGCTCAAGGGGCACCGGACGAGCATGGGGGCTAAAGTTATAGATGGTGTGCTTGTTTGCCCCGATCCATTCACCAATATCGCGAGCATTGGAGATGGGGACGCTTAATCCCACGATTCGCATGTCATTTTCTGTCTGGAGGGCGATGTAGTGCATACGAGATACGACCACCTCGTAAACATAGCCTCCATAGCCACCAAGCATGTGAAGCTCATCCGCAATGAAAAGCTGTACCGTCTGTACATTCTTGCGTCGCTGCCACTGCCTGGACAGCACGTCCCATTGGGTTGGTGTCGCAAGGACCAGATCTGACTGTTCGAGAATCTTCAGATCGGCCGTGGTTTCGCCAGTGAGTTTCATGATGTTCTTGCCACCACCGAGTTTACCGAGACGCTTCTCCCAGTCTGCTAGCCGTTGATCGACTAACTCCTGGAAAGGCGCAATGTAAACGGCGCGCCCACGATCTTCCTGGGCCCAGTGACGCAGTAAAGCAAGTTCCGCACATATCGTTTTGCCGCTGCCCGTTGGAGCTCCAAGGAACACGTTGTCATTGGTGTCGAACAACGACTTGAACACCTGAGTCTGGATCTTGTTGAAGTGTTGCCAGTCAGGGTACAGCTGCTGATAATCTTCACGCTTGAGGGCCTTGACAGGAGCGCGTTGCATGTCAAGCAAGGGGGTGTGGGGAGGGAAACGCTCGGGGAGAATGAGCTTCTGGAAGGAGACAGCAATCTTGGTTTCCGAATGCATCCAACGATCTGAAACGACCGAAATGAAGTAATTCGGGGGCATAGGCTCAGTGATAGGAACAGTGAAATCTACGAGATGCTCGTTCATCTCCGATTGGGCAAAGTCCTTGCGCAACACAAATTGATCGTGGTATAGAATTTCTTCGCCGTCGCAGTCTTCCACCAGAATCCAGAAGTCCTGAGCAGCACCATGAAGTGCCTCATCCCAGATGAAGTTCGGAGTGATGGTCAGTTCAACACGAAGCATGGACCGTGTAATTGGCTGAACTTGGGCTTGGACTTCTAAACGGGGGAACTTGGACACCAGATCGCAAACGACCCGTCCAGCTTTGGGCATACCAAGAAGCTCACCCATACGAGGAGGATCCAAATCGAAGTAACTAGACCAAGGCACTTCAATTCGTTCAGCCTTCTGCAGGATATCCCTGGGGCAAGGAAGCTGACGCAGAGGCGACATCGTAGGCCACATGCGTTTCTCTGCCATCTTGCAAAGATCCAGAGCGGTGCGAGCAACACCAGACCAGCCTTTCTTCAATGAGATTTCGAACAAGGCGCGCAAGATACGGCCCGCTGACTGGGTAACGTATACCATGTCTGCCATCAAGGCCAGTCCGTCCAGCTTGAGCCGGGAAATGAAAGCTTGCAAAAGAACGTTGATTTTGGCGTGAGGTTCATCGATGCTCTCCTTCACAGGTACCGGAACACGGCCCAGCATCTTCGCCAATTCAAGCTTCTCATCTTGTCGGACTGGGATGTACTTGAATTCGTCACTGAGAGCAAAAATTCGGAACAACTCGATCGTTCCGATCATCGGCTGCAGGTGTTGAGAGTAGGTCAACATGGAGTTGTGGCCAATGTAGTAATGAGAGGAGATGCGGCCTAATTCGGTTGCCTGCAGGCGGCCGGTCTTCTTCTCATATTTAACAAGGCCGGCCTTCTCCAGAACAACAGCAGCGGAATGGATGAGGTCCACACGCTTCTGTTCGAGTGCATCGTCGTTCGCATAATCGGCGCCAACGCTGTAGAGACCAGGCGATCGAAGCATTCGGACAAAGAGATAAGTATATCCCAGCCACTCGACACCTTCGTCGCGATTGCGGACACTGCCGAGAACAATTTCGGCATTCAGATTATCCGCAAGCTTGCTCATGAGCTGACTTTCAATCGGTAGTTGTTGATTCAGTAAAGAGAGATAGTACTGGATTTCGGTCTGTGTTGTAATGATGATACCCTCACCATACGTATCATATTGCGGTCGGCCAGCACGGCCAAGCATCTGGAGAACGTCCTGGGGACTAAGTTCAACCCAACTGCCCTTCTCAGGAGAGTACACCTGTGTTCCCTTGATGATAACGGTATGCGCAGGAAGGTTGACACCCCAGGCGAGGGTTGCGGTACAAACCAGGACCTGGATGCTACCGTCGGCAAAAAGTGCTTGGACGGAGTCACGATCAGCCAGACTCAACCCAGCATGATGGATACCGAAGCCATAGGGCAGAAGATCCTTGAGAGAAGCGTCATCAACAGACTCTGCTTCTTCGGCCAGGATTGCCCTGCTGGCAGCATCGCTACGCAGAATCTGACCAATTGTTTCATTTTCCAGAGCTTTGTCCCGGATGTACTTTGCTGTCTTGGCCGTCTCCTTGCGCGAGTGGACAAAGATGAGCATCTGATTGTTACGTTGGCCCACCTGTTCGAGAACCTTGGTGTAGCAAATGTCGTTCATGGCCTTGAGCTGTTTGATGGCCTTCTTGTCGGTCACACCGATGAACTCCTGCTTGAGAGGGCACGGACGGTAGGAGCCGTCAAAGTGGAACAAGCCTTTGACGGGGTCTGCTCGAAGGAAGCTCGCAACATCCCGGTAATTGGGAAGGGTGGCACTCAAACCAACGATTCGAACGGGTTCGCTGGTCTGCTCCATCTTGCGGATGGTCCGGCTGACAATGCTTTCAATGACAGGCCCACGTTCATCATGAAGAAGATGAATTTCGTCGATAATAATGAGGCGAACGATCTTAGTGTAGCTGGTCTCAGAGGCCTTTCTGGTGATAACATCGTACTTCTCAGGGGTCGTCACAATAACCTGTGTCTCCGCAATCTGCTGTTTTGTGAGTTGGCGGTCACCCGTAAGTTCCGCCACTTTGATGCCGTAGGGCTCGAGACGCTTGCCCAGGTTCCCGACTTGTTCTTGGACCAGCGCCTTGAGTGGAGATATGTAGACAATTTTGAAGTCATCAAGCATGATCTCCCCAGTCTCAGGATTGCGGTTCTTTCCAATTTCGCGAAGGATGGTTAACATAGCAACATTGGTTTTTCCAGACCCAGTGGGAGCGCAGACAAGCATGTTTCCATCATCGTGGAAAGCAGTCGGGTAGCACGCTGTTTGAATACGATTAAGTTCTTTCGCACTGCCGAATCCGATGCGAGCCCAATCAGGAAGCTCTGTTGTAGGGATGAGCTTTTCACCAGGTTCCTTCTTGGCCTTGGGTGGCGGGACATGAATCTCTTCGTAGCCTTTGAATGTTCGCTTTGTAGACCCTTGGGGAAGTTTGACGTTGGGATTTGTCATGAGGTGGTTGCCCTGGTGGAAGACAAGGTTTTCCAGATTGATCAACCTCTGAGGTTGCAGACCTCCGACAACGCCACCGTCCTTGGGCTTTTCCTCGGCGGCAGGTTCTGCTGGGACGTCGATATCCATCAAATCCAGCTTAATCTTCTTTTCAGGCCGCTCAGCAAGATCATCGCGAACAGATTTGCCCCGGATCTCATCGAGAATGGCGCGGTGGCCGGCTTCTACCATTTCGGCTTCCACGAGGTTGCGAGCATCCGCATCTTCGGCCGCTCTCCTCCACCGTGTCACCCAGACGACCTTGTTTCTGTTTGTCACCAATTTAGCAACAAGGTCAGGGCTCTCATAATCAAAGAGCTCCATTAGGTCATTCTCGACGTCACGAAGTGGCCTTTCTGTCCCGTCTTCTGATTTGCCGCCGAGAATTTCTAGCGCATCCCTGGCTTTTTCTTGTTGAATGTGAGCATCGGAGTATACAGCACCAATTTGACGCTGTAACCAGTAGGCGTCGATTTCGCGAGCAGGGATATTCAATCCATCTTTGTCCTGTCGCTTCTGTTGTCGGCTCAGACCACCGTCTAGGATCATTTCCTCGTCCCCAGCAAGATCATCCGCGGTGACTTCCTCGGCATCGATCTTGTCCTCTTCGTCTGCTTCATCCTCGTCGGTGAGGTCATCCTCATCACGCACTTCATCGACCGTTCCCATTCGCTCGTCTTCTTCGTCCTCGTCGAAGACGACGGCAACACCCTGGCGTTCGTCGAGCTCATCACCGCCTTCCTCAAGCCCTCCTTCCATTTCCTCATCCTCGTCTTGCGCATCATAGTCGGTGATTTTCTTGCCGAGGTTGACGAGTTCGTTAAACTCCTTTGGCGTCATCGAACTCCCCATCAAATCGTCAATCTCTTTCTTCTTATCGAAATCCTTCATATCCTCATCTTTCAGGTATTCCAGCACGGCGTCAGCAGCACTCCGAACGACCTCGTGCGGGACGTCACCCAGGTGGCTGGCAGTCATTGTGAGGATAAGATCGTAGGTAGCTCTCGTAGCTGGGGTCCGGGGGCGATATTTCAGGCCTTCAATGAGCGCGTCAGCAGCAGAGAGGATACCCTGACCACGAAGCTGCGCAGGTTGTCCGCGCTGAGTTTTCCTTTGCTCCCTGGCTAGCACGTCTTCGCCTTCGCGAATCGCACCTCGTTCGATATCCGCCGGTCCAACGGCCTTCTTCTTCGTCTTCGGTGCATCGTCCCGAGCAATCCGCGAGCCCATCTGCTTGATACCGATACGACCGGCAAGAGATTCCGGATCGCCCGTGGCCTCGTCGTTGACGCGGGAGATGAAACGGCGGTCCGCCTGGAGAACCAGGTTGGACATCGCCGAATACTTGTACTGTGAGATATTTTGTTCCGCCATTTTCGCTCGTTGGCGGAAGACCGCGAGACCCTAAATAAAGAAGAAAGAAAAAACGAATTTGATCGCACGAGGGAATAACGTCGCGACTGCAATGAGTTGTCTAGGCTCGGAAGAGCTCAGATTCAGCCGGCGCGTTGGGACACCTGTACCAGAGATGAATTCAGTGGGCGACAAAACTCCAAGCGGTCTCACAAACCTGTCTCATCCTCCGGCAGCACGATGACACACTGTTGGGAGGGACACAAGCTGCCTTGCGCTGATGATGGAGAAGTCCTGCCAATATTCAACAGGCGTTGCTGGTGAAGAAAGGCTCAGGCGGAGTTGAGCCGCAGATTTCGGTTGTGGCGAAGGCGGAAGGTCGGCCGAGCCACAGCAGCTGGGGCAGCTTTGCCGCGCCACAGGCACGTGCACGCCCGTCAAGTGCTTCAACGGAGGGCAGCAATACTCGAGGGAGAGCCTCGTTTTGCCCAGAACAATGCGCCTTCATGGCTCACAGATATCCTCCTTGAACCTGTGTTGCCGGCGGTTTCATGGATCTGCGGCCACTCTTACTCAGCGCCGCCATGCCTACGAAACAGCGAGTCTCGGCCATCGGACGCGTCGCCCAGACGCGCGACGAGCAAGTCGCCCTGAACTATACAGAGGGGCAAAGACGCGGTCAACAGTGAAGCTCAAGGATTTGCCGCAGGGTGTTTTGAAACTAGAACCCTATAACGATGGGGCGGACGAATTGCCCCAGTATCCCACGGTCCTACAAGGACACCGGAACAATATGCAAAAGTTCAAGAACTGCGTCATCTTGACCCGGGTGGGTGGTTTTTATGAGGTGAGAGGGGTCCCTTGGAGGTGCCTGCTTGGCTGAGTGGAATGAACTAACGCTCTCTTTTTCATAGCTGTATTTCGAACAAGCTGAAGAGCTCGCTCCGCTGCTTAATCTAAAGCTTGCCTCCAAGAAGATCAACAAGGGATCCGTTCCGATGGCAGGCTTTCCGTTTTTTCAGCTTGATCGGTTTTTGAAGATTCTCGTTCAGGATCTGAATAAATATGTTGCTATCAGCGAAGAATTTGCCATTCAGCCGGAAGACAAACCGCGGTTGGGAGGTGTGATGTTCGATCGAAAGGTGGCAAGGATCGTTACGCCAGGGACCCTCATCGACGAGAAATTCATGGATACATCCGAGAATAATTTCCTTCTATCAATCTGGGTGGATATCAAGTCTCTTCAAAACCAGCTGGATCAGCAGGAAGCAAAATCATTGCAGCATGTATTCGCGTCGACGTCTCAGAAGGTAGGTCTAGCCTGGCTAGACCTCTCAACCGGCGACTTCTACACGCAGCACACAACCACTCAGATGCTCCCATCTGCAATTGCACGAGTTGGCGCCCGCGAGATCTTGGTCGACCAGGATGTTCGAGATTCGATTGGCCTCGAGCTACAGCAGCTCGTCGGGCCCGATCATCAGCTCGTAACATTCTTTGATTTCCCAAAGAAGATCGCATCGATGGCAGAATGGACTCCCATGTTGGAGGCACCTCTGCCATCTGAAACCATTGCCTCCTTTCCACCCGAAGAAGTCGCTGCTGGGTATAGTCTCTTAGAATACATTCGGGTCCAGCTGCAGGGCTTAAAACTAAAACTTCAACCGCCTTGCCGTCGGCAGTTGGATGAATCCATGGTCATCGACCGGAACAGCCTCAGAGGGCTAGAGATTTTGGAGACCGCTCGCGATGGTTTCGGCAAAGGAAGTCTTCTTCACGCGGTACGACGAACCTCGACGAAGAGCGGGGCTCGTCTGCTAAGAGATCGTCTCACCTCTCCATCCACTTCAATGGCGGTGATCAATGAGCGCCTTGATCTCGTGTCGGTTTTTTTTAAAGACCATCATCTGCGAAACGACGTTATCGAACTCCTCAAACGAAGTTATGATGCCCAGCGTCTCGTCCAGAAGTTCACACTGGGCAAGGGTGACCCAGATGATTTGCTTTGTCTGTCGAGAGCGATAAATGCTTCCAAAGAGATCAAGAGGGTGCTATCAGGCTGGAATATTGCAAGATCTAACATAGCCACTGGCCATGATATGTCTGGCTTCGAGCGCAGCCTCATGTCTATGGCCAATCGAATTTATCTGGATGGGCCTGTGATACTGGCGGAGAAGATTCTGGCAGCCATCGATGAAGAGGGTTTGCTGCAAAAACAGCGCATGGAGGACACCACTGCCGCTGAGGTGGCAAGCTTAGCCCAGCAGGTTGTGGTCAACGAAGCTTTACCGGAGGAAATAGATATCCTACCCAAAAAAGCACAAGCCAAGGGTGCATACCGCTCAAAAGCAGATATGCAACCTGATGTTTCAGGTGTCGATACTTGGATTATGAGACGACATGCTACGCCTAAACTATGCCGTATCCATCAAGAACTAGGCGACCTTTTGAAAGAACAGTCCGATTTGACCGACCGTCTCCGAGAGTCTGTTGGCTCTTCGTCGCTTACCCTGAAATGGACACCTGGTCTAGGACACATCTGCCATGTAAAAGGTGGGAAGATTTCTCAGGACGCACTTGAACAAGTGGGCGTCACACGGACCTTGTCATCGACCAAATCGACACGTTCATATTACCTCCCACAGTGGACCAAGCTTGGCCAAAACATCGACCAGGTCAAGCTGAAGATCCGTCAAGAGGAACAACAAATATTTGAAGACCTCCGTCGGGCCGTCATTCTGAATCTGGTCAAAATCCGACGCAATGCTGCGGTGATGGATGAGCTGGATGTCGCCTGTTCTTTTGCCATTCTAGCTGAAGAACAGCAAATGACTCGCCCACAGTTGACCAAAGGAAATGGGTATAAGATATTAGGCGGAAGACACCCCACCGTCAAACTGGGACTAGAAGAGCAAGGGCGATCATTTGTCACCAACGACTGCTTTTTGAACGACCAGGAGCGGATTTGGCTCATTACTGGCCCCAACATGGCTGGAAAAAGTACCTTCTTGCGACAAAACGCATTGATAACGATTCTCGCCCAGGTTGGCTCGTTCGTTCCTGCAGCATATGCGGAAATTGGAGTCGTCGATAAGATCTTCAGCCGCATTGGCGCTGCAGACGATCTGTTCCGTGACCAGTCCACGTTCATGGTGGAGATGCTCGAGACAGCCACCATTCTCAGGCAAGCGACACCGCGCTCCTTTGTGATCATGGACGAGGTAGGCCGAGGCACGACCCCGGAAGATGGCACCGCTGTAAGCTTTGCTTGCCTTCATCATCTCCATCATCATAATCAATGCCGTACGCTTTTCGCCACCCACTTCCATGCCCTTGCGGACATGACGGCGGACTTTGAACATCTGGGTCGGTATTGCACTGACGTGAAGGAGATGCCGTCTGGATCTTTCTCATTCGTTCATCGACTGCGCAAGGGTGTAAATCGCAATTCTCACGCTCTCAAAGTCGCCCATCTTGCCGGTCTACCTGCCGAGGCCATTGAGATAGCAAGAAGCGTTCAGAAAGCCTTGAGAGCACAACATTCGGGATCCCCCGAACACTCTATCCATTGACTCATTGATTTATTTGTGTGTTTGTTTGTTATAAGTAACTTGCGATACCCAGGAATGCAATTGTAATTATGTCCTATAGCTTGGCCGAGTTCTCTGCCCTCCTCCCCAGAGTGACGGTAATCCCCTCCCCAAACGCCGCCAACTGGCAGTCCTCGTCGTCCACCCCGTTCAGGAACTGCACCACCACAAACTCGACCCGTCTCTTCCCAAGAACCACCATGGGTGCATGCCACGTCCCCGCCCCGTAGGTCACCGCCTGGCCACCCCTGGCAATAAACGCCCTTAGATTCTGCAGATCCGGCGGATCGCGGATTGTAACCGATCTGCCCTCTGCGTCGGTAGCTGTTGCGGTCTCTCCCTTGCGCGTTGGCGCCACGATCACTAGAAATAAAGGTTCCTCACTCCATCCTGCGTAGGATTGACTAGATAGGTCGAGGGGTATGAAGGTCTGGGTGGTGAAGGGGTGACGTTCGAGGATCCGCACGTCGAAGATCTCGGCTGCATGGTTGGCGTTCTGTGACGACTTCACGGCACGCAGCTTACGAGGAAAGCAGACAAACATGCTCATACGCGCCTCGGAGGGTTTCCCGCTCGCACATGAGCCGGCATAATGGTCGAGGAGCGGGGAGACGGGGCTGTACTTCAAGGCAGTGGATTGGTTCGCCACGACGGGAGCTGGATTTTGCGTTGAAAGAGTATGCAGAGGGGGGATCGAGGCGACATCTCGAGGAATCGGACAGGAAATAGCTGTGCCGAAGGGGGAGAAGGATTCTGGCGTTAGAGGTTCGGGAGTCACTTGGAGAGTTGGGTGGGAGGCGAGGATTGGGGCGGACATGGTGGAAGAGGGCAACCCCTGCAGTAGTAGTCTTTGAATCAGTTGTTCTTCTTCTGTAGAGCACAGAAGCTCATCGAATATGAATCAAAGAGTAAATCAAATTGTCTCTAGAATCAAGAATGAATCTGAACAATTATGCCATCAAGTTCGGTCATCTCCGCCCACGTGCACGATAAGATAAGCACAACGCCGGTTTCGCTTCCAAGTTGGTTATCTTGACTCCTTAGAACTTCCTAGATACTAAATACTGGATACAATTTAAGGAAATTCAGCAATTCTATTCAACTAATAAGCAGAATGACCCCTTGCTACCACAATAACCGCAGTGACTATCATCTTGCGCACTTCTAAAGACTGGAAGCTTTCCACACGATAAGATCTCCTCCTGACGATGCTTTACAGCGTGAGGGGGGTGCAGCCGAGGTTGACGAGGCCGCTCTGAGAAGAGACAGTCAATAAGTAAGTAGAGATTCTCCTGGGACAGAGCCTAATGCCTTGAATGGACCCGAGGGAAGGATGAAGCTTACCTGCGTGTTTTCACTGCAACAGGCAGGAACCAAGGCGCAGCTGGCCAGGTCGAGAAGCGGGGCGCCTATATCGATTTTGCATCAGCATAACGATCTTGTACTGCTATCAGTCTTCAGTCCGATCCGGGACTTACAGCCCTGTCCGATCAAGTCAGTGATTTCGCCCAGGTCAAGGAGTCCCAACAATCCAGAGCTGTGCGTCTCAGTCCCGTTGTCGACCGACTTGCAGCAGTGAGGTGAAGTGCCGCTGGCGCAGTCTCCACTGGAAGCAGCCAGAGCAGAGCCGGCAGCAGCGCTGACGGCGGCGATGATAGCGAGAAAACGCATGGTGAGAGTTGAGATGTGACCTGTGAAGAGGTTTTTTTTTTATCTTTTCCTTCTTCTTTTCTGGAGGCTCCGTATCTTGAACAGGGGCGTTGGTGAACAGATATACAACGAGTAGGCACTGGGACACGAGGTTCTATTTATGCTCGAAGAACTACCGATCTCGATCTTTCTGCTCATCAAGAGCGTAATGATCCTTTGTCGGAGCATACTACCAGACAGTCCCTACGAACGGGTTAGATCTGAACAAACGCCCACTTGAATCTCTACTATCATTGCAACCCTGACAGACAAGAGTGCACATCTCGGGCCCACATCTTGAGCCTCATGGTATAGAGCTGGCAGCTGAGTGGTGAGAAACAGCGATGTACGTGTGGTGGACCAATCTCAACAACCTATCCAAAATTAGAAAAAAGGTGACAGGTTCCTGTCATTGTTTAAAGTCTCCGCAGGACAAGCATTCTGCAAGGGCATAATTGACTGACAGCAGGACGAAAACGTCGACAAATAGAGCAGACCATTCTTTGTTCTCCGGTGCCCGTACCCCGAATAGGACAAGCAGCATTCCTGAGATGTAGCAGTCTAGCAGACAATGCATGGTGTTCGTCCTGGCTAGGAATTATGACCTCATTCCATTGTTTGTCGATCTGCCGAGTTGCACAGACGGCTTAAGGGTGAATGAAAGCTCTTTGCTGCTTTCGTGGAGGCGGACAGATCCCGACATCGAACGGATGGAGTCAACACTGGAGTCAAAAGCTCGATGACACCCACCTTGTCAATGGGGATCTTACGCAGTTTCCCATGCTGGTGATTTCTCTTTCCGTATCGAAATCCGCAATTGGAAGTTTTTCGCGGGATGGACTATCACCAGAGTTCCATGAACAAAAGTGCCTCGGCCATCGCTGCCAATAAGTCGCCCAATCAAACGCTTCAAATCCATAAACAATACTTAAACCCTCCGGATAACTTTTGCTGTCAGCTCCAAATTTGCTCGGACCCGAGGTCACGTCTTGAATGTGTGGCTGCGCAGCACACGAGACAACCTTGGTAACGCATCACGCATCTGGCGGTGGCAACATGGGTCGTTTTTTTGGGTCCAGTCTTGGATAGGCGGGGCTTGACAATCTGTCACCCAGCAGTGGCTCATCGTAGGCGGCTGCTGAACCCAATTCTCTATGAGTAAGCTATCTCTTTTCCTTGTACGGAGTACTCTGTACCCCTTGTGTGTGTTACATCTGCATCAGACCTTCTATAGGTCCACACTCCCTTGAAGTACAGACCTGTGGTTCCCTCCCTGCATCCTCTCGGACTCTCAAAATACCTCACAGGTCATGATGAGCTTCTCCGCTTCCTTGCTACCACCTACTTGGCATCTCTCCGGTGATCGCCAGTGGCTTCCCCAGTCCAACGGCAAGGTTGCCTAAATCGGACTCGCAGGTGCCTCCTCGTCTGCGCTGATTGGACGTTTGGGCCCCCCAGATGGGTCCCTGAAAGTCAACCTTGCCCCATGGGGTCATTCTTCAGGCGCTATTCCTATCTAGGTCCATAGCCTAGCCGGAATAGGCAGGTGCAGCAGTGCTAGGGCTCCAGCTCCAGGGCTCCTACCATTTCGGATTGACGAGTGGCCTCAGTCTGTGGTCGCGTTAGCTACTAGAATGGCCTGCGTCAGTCTCTAACGTGAGAGCTTTCTTTACAATGGGGCGAGAAGGCATCATCGGAGTCGCTGTTCACCGTGCTCTCGGCTTGCCAAGCTTTGTGAACTCAGCTGGTGGTAAAACACGAGCTGGTGACACACTCTGTTTCCACGGTTTCAACTTTGCTCGTTGTCCAGTACCTATCCGGGGCCGCCATACATACTGTGCTTCCCCAGGTGAACTCGCCGAGCTGCCAAGAGAGGAAACTCTCGAGGACTAGGTTCCATGAGCTGTGTGTGGTGGCCCTTCGCTTGCCCACCAGCATCTAATTATGGGGTGATCTCCGTGATGCCATGAAAATGCGAGCCTATTTTGAACTCTGTATTGCCATGAGTCGCCCGCTCACACAAGTTCTCGCTCCTGCCATGGTACGGCAAACAGCCACACCATGTTGCACGTCTTGGAGGGATTTAAGCTCCCTGTATCCCCACGGGGGGGGGTGTAATTCGCAAGCTCCCAATCTCTGGAAATAAAATCCTCTTTGACTATTTGCCCTCAACTCTCCTCCCTGCTATATCTTCTATTTCTTTAATCCTTGCACCATGAGTCTCCACGCCACGAGCGATGTCAATCGTATCGAGGCCCCTGTAACCTGGAAGGCCTACATTATCTGTGCCTTTGCCTCGTTCGGCGGTATATTCTTTGGCTATGACTCCGGGTACATCAATGGCGTCAATGGCGCGTCTGTATTCATCCACATGGTCGAAGGCCCTGACAAAGACGCCCTCTCGTCCTCGCACCAGTCCCTGATCACCTCGATCCTGTCTGCAGGCACTTTCTTCGGCGCCTTAGCCGCGGGTGATATTGCTGATATGATCGGTCGGAAGTGGACCGTCATCATCGGCTGTTTGATCTATATGATCGGTGTGGTGATCCAGATGATCACGGGTCTCGGTAATGCCTTGGCTGCCATCGTTGCTGGCCGTCTGGTTGCAGGGATCGGTGTCGGCTTCGAGAGTGCTATTGTCATTCTCTACATGAGCGAGATTGTGAGTTTTTTAAGCCTCCGTATATGGTTCACGCTGTAGATATTCATTGACTGTTTTATTAGTGTCCTAAGAAAGTCCGTGGTGCGCTCGTTGCCGGATATCAATTCTGTATCACAATCGGTCTCTTGCTGGCGTCGTGTGTCGTGTATGCCACAGAGCATCGCAACGACACGGGGTCTTATCGGATCCCCATTTCGATCCAGTTTGCCTGGGCTCTCATTCTCGGGATTGGTCTCCTTTTTCTTCCCGACTCGCCTCGTTACTATGTAAAGAAGGGCCATCTCGACCAGGCCACCCGGTCTTTGTGCAGATTGCGTGGCCAGCCTGCCACCTCCGAATACATCGAGGCTGAGCTCGCTGAAATCGTGGCCAACGATGAGTACGAGCGGGGCCTCATTCCCGATGCCAGCTGGTTTGGAACCTGGGCCCATTGTTTCCAGGGAAGCCTCTGGAAACAAAAGTCCAATTTGCGCCGCACCATCTTGGGGACCTCTCTTCAGATGATGCAGCAATGGTGGGTTGCCATGCAATTGCAAACTCATTAAACAGACCTCAAATGTAACTGACACACGAGAATAGGACTGGAGTCAATTTCATCTTCTACTACTCCACCCCCTTCTTGCAGTCGACCGGTGCCATCAAGAATACCTTCCTGATCTCGCTGATCTTTACCCTGGTCAATGTCTGCTCCACTCCGATTTCCTTTTACACTGTTGAGAAATTTGGCCGCCGTCCCCTGCTCGTCTGGGGTGCACTTGGCATGTTGATTTGCCAGTTCCTTGTGGCCATCATCGGCGTGACTGTTGGCTTCAACAAGACGCACACAGACGCCGCGGGCAACGACATTGCCAATAACATCGCTGCTGTCAACGCGCAAATTGCCTTCATTGCTATCTTCATCTTTTTCTTTGCCTCCACCTGGGGCCCCGGTGCCTGGATTGTCATCGGCGAGATCTTCCCTCTCCCCATCCGTTCTCGCGGCGTGGCTCTCTCCACCGCCTCGAACTGGCTTTGGAATACAGTAAGTCTAGACAGACCCCCCCCTTCCCCAATGGCTCTAAGCAGTGCTAACATGACAGATTATCGCCGTCATTACTCCCTACATGGTGAACAAAGATCGAGGCAACCTCAAATCTTCGGTATTCTTCATCTGGGGCGGCCTCTGTACCGCCGCGTTCATCTATTCGTGGTTCCTAGTGCCTGAGACAAAAGGGCTGTCCCTGGAACAGGTGGATCAGATGATGGAAGAGACCACCCCTCGCACCTCTGCCAAGTGGAGGCCTCACACGACGTTCGCTCAGGAGAAGGGTCTTGTCACCGAGCATGTCGAGCAGAGAAACATCCCTGCCACTGTAGAAGAGTCGGGAGTCTAGCCCTTGTCTTATCCTTTCCTTTTGTACCAACTTAATCCAATAATGGTCTGCTTTGCGAAACCAATTCCACTCTAAACGTTCTTCCCTCCCATCTCAATGTGATCTTTTGACTCGTCACCGGGATTTGCAAGATCCTCCCGCAATTCATGTAGTATACGGAATCGCCTCAAGTAAGGCCGACCTCTACCTAATCTCCGAGCTCGCCCAGGATATAGGTATGAAGACGGAGGGCGTACCTAGCCAGGTTAGGTAGGAGGAAGGTACCTTTTTGCACCGGAGTTCGGAGTACAAAGTACGGTGTCCTGCATGCTGCATACTGTATACCAAATAGTAGCCCATGGATTCGTTCGGACTTCACTTCCAACCCTCGGCAGCATCACTTCCACGTATGGAGTACAGAGTACGAGGCAGTGGTGAAGATCCATCAGCCCTTGCAGTAGCTGCTCTGTTGGTATTGCTGATCTGTGTAAAAAGCACGTCACTGCCGTCACTGTACAGAAAGTACTTGTCAGGCATGGAGTACGGAGAACCATGGTCTCTTAGGTTGGGTAGGATGTCTGGTGGATGGTGTTCTTGTTGTTGTTGTTGTTGTGGTTTTCTTTTTTTTTTTTTATTCCTTTGTTCAATGTGGGTGTTTGTGTGGTTTATTTTTATGCTCTCCTCTTTCCTTTCTTATTATATACCCCCCCCCCCCCCCCCCCCCCCCCCCCCCCCCCCCCCCCCCCCAATGCACTCATCTACGCATTTGGAATAAACCGTCATCAACCTAGAAGTCTGTGGAAGTGATCTTTTATTGCTTCGCCTATGAACCACAAGATCCTGGGTTTCTGCCGAATAGGTCCGGCTTACGGTTTACCTGTCAGTCCACCGTCTGGGATCCCTAGCAGATGTCTCCCTTGTCCCGCCATGTGAGTTTTGCCCTATAGCTGGCGTTTTTATGAGCACTAGTGCATGTAGCAAGCATCTGACGGGCAAAAGGGACAGTAGATGGGCCGAAGGCGATACCCGGCGATAAACAAAAGGACTGGTTTCATGGCAATGCGAAGAAATCCGATCATATTAGTACCTGCCTTGCGTGGGAGCGGAGAACAACTTCTATCGAGTGAGTGTACTATACTTCAAGAGGGAGGGGCGGGGGGCGGGAGAGATACAAGGGCCCTCTCACATTCCTACAGGATACTATTTACTAGATATCCATCTTGAACTTATTCGCGGAGAGTCGACTTGAAACTGGGCATACGAGGAGGCTTCCCCCTCCCCCCCCTCCCCCTTCGGCGATATCGTCATATTCGGACAACAGCTGAGTACAGACTCCACAATACCGTCCTGTCCTTCCTCCAGAGAATAATCGGGCGATCGCCTGCGCTGTCATCTCGTTAGGCACGTTTATTCATGCGCGGATATATATATATATATATAAACGGAGTATATATATTGCCCGGGACAGTTTCGGAAATCATTTCCGGAGGGGTCGTAGTGCAGCAAGGGCGTGTTGACTTGTCGAAAAAAGGTTACAGATTAAAAAAAAAATCATCTAAAGGGAAGCCGATGGCGACGGTTTCTTGCTGTCATGACCGAAGAGATCCGCGATTCACGGCGCAGCTCGGCGTTGAATGGGGTTTGTTCCTTACGAACGATCATTGGCTACAAGGGCCATAGTGGGTGCCAGCGAACCGACCTGCTGGGACGCTCGAGTTTCCAGACCTCCTCTCTCTCAGACCCATCATCTCAGGCAAACCGGCGGAGCCGAGTGCCCTCGCCGCAGGCTCGTTTGAGAAGTGGTTCCGCCAAGGAAGATATCGAGCAATTGGGGAGAGTTTAACGGCAGCTGCAAGCGACCGCATACATGTCATCATTCCGCATGCCGTTGAAGACCGAGTAGGAACGATACAACCCGTCGGAGCTTGAGTCAACAATAATCAAAAAAAAATAGCCAAGATGCGTGTCCTGGCCTCCCAAGGGGGGGGGTTATAAAGCAGTTCACCTCTTGAGCTTCCAAACTTTCTCCTCATCCTGCCTTCGATGAGTACAACAGTGTACAGAGAGGATAACTGACTTTGCGAATTCCAACATGCCATCCGCACCCGTCTCCTTCGAGTTGCCGCGCTGCAAGAATGGCTCCGAGTTTGCTTCCTATTCCTCGGCCATCGATGAGATTCTCTCCTGCAACAAGACCCCGGCACCAGACACTCACGAAGGAACATTGAATTTGGATGAGATTCTACTCGAGTATGCCGACAACAGCGGCGCCGAGATGGTCTTTGATTCCCAAGAGAATCCCTCAGACAACCCTTCTTATTATGGGTAATGCCTCCCATCTCATCATCTCCTTTCCAAAACAATGCTAACATACAGTTATATCAGGGATTCGGCCGAACAATCTCTCAAGCCATCTCCCAGAGTGGCCGAGACCCTTCTCCATACTGGCTCATGGATAAAGGAGCAACATCCGACACAGGAGAGTCTGCACCGCAAGAAACAGCGCGCCTCACCCTACCGACGGCCTTCCGACGATGACCACCGCTCGTCAGATGCTCGATGCAAGAAGAAGCGCAGTCAATAACGAGTGGGGATATCACCCCCTTCTCTCTTTCGCAATGCTACGAGTCTACGATTTTACGAGTTGAAGAATCCATTAAACATTAAAAAGCGATTTTTGTCCTATAGAGCTTGATGATCTCCTTCTTTTGTTTTTTTTCCAATTGATCAAAATCCTCTCTTTCTACTCTTCCCACTCATTACAGTTTCATCTGATGCTCTTCCTGCCCTACCTATACATATTTTCATTCTTCTTCCAAATGCCAAAGTTTCAAAGAATTAGTTGACCATATCCAGATCTTGAGATGGGTTCGGCGACATTGCCACGATGGCCAGCAAGAGGCAAACTCCATCGGCCGAAACCGCCTATATCCGAGTATTATTGAAGTTAAGCCATGATCCCGTACACAAGAGCGCAAGCAGGTAGCTTAAACGAAGAAAAAAGGTAAAAGGGAGCCGACGTGTCCAGAGCGCAACACCGAACTCGACCGAAAAAGGAGGAGTTCGGCTCGATGCACTATAATTGGCCACGGCGCATCCGACTCTGTTCAGCAAGCTGCATGTGCATGTGCAAGTGCAACTGCCGCGATCCTTTACGGGGTAGACTACTCGGATAGGTTAGTAAAACGGAGTGGATCTTCTATTTTCTTTGTATGCAATGTAGTGTATGTAGTAGTTATCCATCTATGGAGCATGCTGGGGCTGGCTGAGATTTTCCTACGGTAGTATAGAATGGGTCTTTCGGAGCCGAGATTGCGCTAGTACAGAGAAGGTAACACCCCCCTGCTCCGAGCCTCCAACGGAGGACTATTAGTTAGTACCCTTACTACATATGTACTATGCAGTATACGGAGTAGTAGGAACTTCGACTGCCGGTCTCAAGAACAAGGTAGACTGACAGTCCGCCATTATTGGTTGTAAATAGTACCTATGTACGGAGTACTACATACTAAATAGTACCTATGTACGGAGTACTACATACTAAATAGTTGCCAAGTACTTGCTTACTTGCCTACTAGGTAAGTACGACTTGGTCGCTAGCTTAGTATAGGCGGTCTATTGATTAACAGCAATTGACTGTCATAGACGTTCATACAATGAATACTACGAATGACCTGAAGATTTGGATAGGAAGCAATCTATATATTATATATTATAGAATATAACTAATCTGGTGTCCCATTTCATGATATTATTCGATTAGGAATCCTTGTAGGGACTTTGGGATGATTCCAAGTAATTATTCTGTTGATCCTCCCAATACAAGAATACAACTACGATAATTTGACCTGTTTTTTATTCTTTCTTATTGTCTCATAAGATCAAAGATAATCACATCCAATTTTTAAACCAAATCGGATCAAATAGCCCCAGGACAAGCCCGCATGTATTATCGAATACAATCAAGAATCAACCAGCTCCGCGCTGAAAGGCATCCAAAATAAAACAAAACAAAAGACACCAATTGCCAACATAATTCAATCATTTAGGTCTGTGACTTCAAGCTCGCTTCCGCAGCACCCGGCGGCCCGTCGCAGGCGCTTCTACTGCAGCAGGCGCTGTCGCTTTCCGGACTGTCGTAGCAATAGCGGTCGTGCGCTTGACGGCCATGGACGCCGTTTGGCCGCGAGCGGTGGTCGTTGGTTTTTTGGCAGCGGTCGCAGCGGCACCCTTCCGTGTAGTACCAGTGCCGGTACGGGTAGTCTTGGCGACGGTGGTGCCGGAGGAGGCTGTTGACGAGACGGTTCCCGTACTGGTTTTGCGTTCACGCTGCCGGGTGGCAGGGCGAGAGATCGGGGAGGGGACCGCCCTCGAAGCAGTCGCGGAGCGAGCAGTCGTCTTCTTGGCCTGCGACGCCGGCCGCATGGGGTCTTTGGAACCAACTGGCGCGGCTCCTCTTGCGGTACGAGCCCCCGTCGTTGCCTTGAGAGGACTGGAGGGTTTTAATGGTGACATTGGACGCGATGCAAATAGCGGGTTCTGCGTTTTATCGGGCGAGGCACGGAACGGTGACTGAGGGTAGGTCCGCGAATTCAACGACTTGGGCGACAGGATTCTGTAATCTGCCCCTCGCACTTCTTGGGAAACGACACGGGAAGCGCCTCCATTGGCGCGTCTCTTGGGATTCTTCAGCACATCAACCGGCTCCCCGGCGGCGGGAGCGTTTTCTTTATCCGAGTAGTTCTCTTGGCTGTAGACGGTTAGCCAGGACCCTCTTCCAAGAGCAGAGTAAAGTGAATAGTAAGGAACAATACACACCTATGCTTCTTGACTCTGCGGACATGGGCGCTCGTCGGCGCGCCGTGCATGTCGACAGACATGGCCGTCACGTTCCGAATAGCCGCCTTTCCAGTCTGCCCAATCTTCCTCGGCGAGCGCAGCGCGGCGGTTTGTTTCTCAAGCAGCTCGCCCATCGTGGCCTTTCGAAGAGCCACCGGGATCCGGTTCACGCGTCGTTCGATCCGGGCTCGAAGGTCGTGGGCCTGCAGGGCATATTGTGCGCGCAATTTTCGTGCTCGCTCCGTGACTGTACAGCAATAGTAAGCCTCTGTACTGAAGAACCTTATTCATGTCCATTTCACGTACTTTCCAGCTGCAGGTTGTCGATCAAGGCCTGCTTCTGGTTCCTCGTCAGACGGAGCCTTTTGGCCGGAGGGCTGCCAGTGGGGGTTTTGGCGTCGTCAGACGCGTCGTAGACCTGGTCGGGGGTCTTTCGTTTGACGGCAGACATTGTCGCAGCTATCGGGTATTCTCTATAAATTTATATTTTCGACTCAACAGAGGGGAAACAAGAGCTGGTGGGGTTGTGTTGTGTTTGGTGGTTACGGTCAAGGGAGAAGGCGTGTTTGGCAGTAAACAAGGCCCAAGGCGTAGGCGGCGAGTGACGGCAGCTCCAGCGGAACTTCGTCCACAGCCGACGTGAGCTCCTGCCAGGCACTAACGATCATCCACGTCACTTTCGATACACCACTACCAGAATACTGATCCTAATTTCTTCATCTTCCTTTTCCTTTCACTTTGCTTGAGCTTGGATAAATCCTAGTCGACCGACAACACCGCCACAATGACGCTCGAAGCGACGATGATTATGTCAGTGAACTGGTGCTTTATCTCAGACCCATAGCTAACGACTCTACAGTGTCGATAACAGCGAAAGCAGTCGGAATGGAGATTACACGTGAGTGCTCTATGTTCTTTTAGGGCGTGGTTTTTGTTTGCATGGCTGTATTGATTCCGTCGTGACAGATCGACACGATGGCAGGCGCAGGTCGACGCCGTGAGCGTCATCCACAGCGCCAAGATGCGCGCAAACCCTCAATCTGCGGTCGGTCTGATGAGCATGGGAGGTAAAGGGCCGGAGGTGCTGTCGACGTTCACAACGGATTTTGGCGGTATCCTTGCTGGTCTGCACCGGACCAAGATTCACGGCACCACGCATCTAAGCTCGAGCATACAAGTTGCGGGGGTATGGAAGCCTTTCCATGATCTCTTGAATAACCCATGACTTTCATACGAAAAAACAAGCTGAAGATACTAACGTCTACAGCTTGCACTGAAGCATCGGTCGGAAAAGTCCCAGCGACAACGGATTATCGTGTTCTCCTGCTCCCCCATCGCCGACGATGAAAAATCCCTGGTGAAGCTGGCCAAGAAGATGAAGAAGATGAATGTTTCGATCGACGTGATTGCTTTTGGGGACCTGGAATCCGACCAGACGAAGAAGCTCGAGGCCTTTGTCGAGAATGTCAAGGGTGGTGACGGCTCCCACCTGGCGATCATCCCACCGGGCCCCAACCTGCTCAGCGAGGAACTGCAGGTCACACCGATCCTGGGTGCCGAGGGTGCCGAGGGCGCCCCGGGCGCAGGACCGGAGGGCGGTGACTCGGGGGCGTTTGGTTTCGAGGATGCAGCCGAGAACGACCCGGAGCTGGCGTTCGCCCTGCGGTTATCTCTGGAGGAGGAGAAGAATCGGCAGGAGAAGGAGAAGCGCGAACGGGAGGAACAAGAACACAAGGCCGCACTCGCCAACATCCCCGAGGAGGGCGAGTCCAGCGGGAAGGACAAGAAAGACGACGAGATGGATACCGCATAGTTTAGATGACAATTGATCCTTTGCATACCCGGTAAACCTACTTGAGAAAGAAAGAAGAAGAAAAAAAAAACCCCCTATGTGTGTATCTATGCTATGTACAAAAAAGTAGGTAGTTACCCGTCAACTGTTAAAAAGAAGAAGAGGATCAAGTCATGCCCTGCCCCGCAACCAGGTCGCCAGATGCCTATCAAACGCCTCACATCTAACCGGCATTTCCAGCTGATAGAAAGGATTCTTCATCACGTAGTCAGCGTACAGCTCGTAGATTTTCATCACCACGCCGTCGATGTTGACCATGCCCGGATCCGTGAAGAGCAGGAACTTGGTTCCCGTCAGGGTCTGGAAACATGTGAGGCGGAATTTATCTGTTTCGAGCACCTCCAGCCCCGTCGTGGGGATCCCGGGGTTGGGTAATGTGAATGCCGGGCCGGAGGTTGGCGTCTGGGTGCGTGTCTGTGTCTGTGACTGTGACTGTGTGGATGATGGGAGTGGTGTTGGTGTACTGGAGGAGGAGGAGCCAGTCGTTATTGAAGGGGGGAGGGCGGGGAGTTTCGGTGTGATGGAGCGGGTGATGGCGTGGACGCTGAACGTAATGTTAGCTTTATATTTATTGTATCAGGGATAATTCCCTTCTATCCGTATATAGTATATATATATATATATATATATATATATACGATAATCATTGTGTTTACCCGTGAAATGTCCCTGCGAGAACCAGGTAGTCGTTCGTGGATAGCTTGCGCAGCCCAGACTGGAACTCGCGCTGGTAGACCAGCCCGCCGGCCTTGTTGATGATGATGAGGGAGTAGACGGCCCTAAGGTAGTTCTCTTGTCAGCTTTCTTCCTCAAGCGCTTGAAAGGGGTGGGTTGTTCCTCTTGATGGATGGTACGCACATGGCTGTCTTATTAGGACAGGGCCCGGATTCAGGACAGAAATTGTTTTATCGTGAATTCATCACTTGAAAGCTGAAGGGTAGATCTCAATATTGAGATTAAGATCTGAGTTTCACGGTGAAAGCATTGGCATTTATTCTCCTTTATTAGAGGTTGTTCGTGTCCTGCCGCCTTCAGGGTCCATCTATAACCGCACGTGCCAAGACGGCGGGTAGTTTCTGCCTGAATATTGAGGCGTCAATATTGTTTGTAGTAGGTCATATATTAGAGGTTTTATCTAGATTGCTGAAACATTTCAATGTCTTGAGACCTTTATTATAAGCAAAATACTTTTAATAGTACTGCCGTCGGTCATCGATCGCCATAAGCCTCTCTCAGGAATGCTATATTCTCTGTACTCAGTGTAGAGTCATGAATGATTATAGACCGACTGTTTCATCGAGAGATTAGAGCAACCCGACGGGCTCAAAAGTCATTTCTATCCAAGCGGTTAATTTATTATTGATTTCCCCCTTCTCGCCTCCCATATCTCCTGCAGTTGAGAGCGGAAATATAGTCGACTTTGTGAGGCAAGCGGATCGCAACAAAGACAGAAGAACATCAGCCTCCAGCCAATCGAGGAGATTGCCAATGCGTCATTAGAGCTGGTCTGGCAGCGATGCTGCTGGATTAAAGTCACTACTAGTTTGCCTGCCGCACAACTGGGTAACACTGTAGTGGACTCTTCCAATCCTGATCGAATCGTGTTTATGTCAGAGGTTGGTGAGATTCTGACAGAGGGACCGATTGTCAGCGAAGGTCACCTAGCAGTCATACTTGATTGCCAAACATAACTTCAGTGGTAGCTAGTATTGATATAACAACAGGACTTTTCTCCATAGGGTCAAGCATCTGATTTTCGTATCTAGAGGTGACGCATCACCTTGATGACCTGGAAAAGCTCATCAATCAGCGGATTGGAAACCAAGCGACATCGTCATACTGACAAAGCAGTCACCAAGTGGCTGTCGAACAAAAATTTCTGGACAAATCACTAAAACTGGTTTGCGAAGTTTGTCGATGATGACCTCGAGTTCTGGAGCGACTCCGCCGCGGATAACATCGCAGACGCCACTAGCAGTCGGATAACGCTTTCTGCCCATCCTACGTTCCTAATAATCAGGACGACACTGTGTCTGTGGAGCTCATCATAGCTGCTGTTTTACACTGCTTTGCGCTGGTATTTTGTGAACGTGGCGAAGCATCCCATACTGGTCTGTTGACAATTACTTCGTGGTCTGGACTGCCAGGACTGAAAATTCATTCTCTGAGATGAAGACACATCTGAACCTCTAAATACACTCTTTATGGGCTGTTCCTCAAACTAGAACTCAATAGTCTATAAGTTGAAATTCTAATCTCTTCCTTTTCTTCAGATCAGGAGCCTCTCCTGGATAGTTCTTCAACCAATTATTCCTATTTGTTTCCTATATACATCCTTCTCCTCCCCTCAGATAACCTGCTGTTAATCCATCATGTTCCCTGCAACATATATAGCCGCCTCAAGCCGATTCTCCAATTACTTATTCACTCCCCCCTTCATCATTGTGTCCAAGTATCTTTCTCGTGCGACGGTTGGATGGTGCCTATATACATTGCCTATCAACACAGTCAGCAAATAGATACTGATAGTGAATCATAAGAACGAAGCAGAGCCTACCTTTCAAAAAAGACCAGATAGCTGATCTAATGCCAGACGGTTTAAGGGGCGACGGCACGGCGTAGGCGGTTGTATACTTGGAGTATGCAGGGAGAACTTCCTGGGAATTGTTTGAGGGATGGAGTTCAGCTTGCTCCCAGTAAGAAGGCGGCTTTGAAGACATTGTAGAGATTTCGATTTATTTGATTGACTTGGTTCTTATTGAGATTCAGGATGACAGCGAGTCACTGTTACCTACTAAGGTAGGTACCTAGTATAATAGTTACTGCTTCCAATCTGACCAATCAAGACGGTTCGCTTAATTTATGGCTGTATCGGGTTAGATCTGCGCCTTTTTCTCCGGAGTACTAGCCTAACCAGTATTGGAATAGTACAGCGTTGTCCAGTGAATATAGCAGAGATGCCTTGACGCTGAATAGGATAGGAAGTGTGAAGTCATGATATGCTATAAAGGCTTTTCAATACCTAAAAACCCATCTTTTGTCGAGGGCCTAGATCCGAACACTATGTTGTCAGGGTCCGAGATTTCTCGTAAACAAGCTGTATATTGGCCTGATTTCACACAGCCTAATACCTGCTGTCATCCATCATAGGCCAGCTCCTTCAATAGAAGGCATTGGAGTGGGAGATTCCAAAGCTTTACCTATGATATAAAGACCATACACGATATTACTAGACTAAGAATGATAAAAATGATCCTTCAAGATTCAATTATATGAGCATAAGATACCAGACTACATCCTACCCAGGTATGCCACATCGACGACAGTGCTAATCTCGACAATGGTCTATCAATCAGCATTCATGAGCATTCATCAGCATTCCACTCAAAGCAAGTAAACAAGTAGAACAATAAAGGAAGCTCTTACCGGCCCACCAGGTCTCGAAGACCGTCCAGTACTATGAGACACACTCTCATATTTGACCGTTCCGTCGCCTCCTGCCTTGACATGGGCGACATAATCCGGCGCACCGGGGTGGTCCGTATTATCCGCGACGACGATGGTACCCCTACGAAACAGATGGAGGGATTCACACAGTTTCAGGTCGGGAAGGTAATATTCCTCCCAGTGATCGATGAAGGCCATATCGACAGCCCCCTGGGTGATTTTGCCTTGTTCGTAGAGTGTTTTGACGGACTCCGCGGCCGGCCCCTCCACGACGTGCACCGTGTCTTGTAAACCGGCTAGCTTGATGAAATCACGCGTGATGCGTGCATGCTCCGGGTCCAACTCGAAGGTATACACATTACATTCTGGTAGAGTGGAGGGATCTTGCAAGTCCTGCAGGATAGCCCCCCACGCCAACGCCGAGTGGCCGACATAAGTGCCAAACTCGAGGACGGTTTTTGGTTTGGGATCCATCTGCTGCATTGCTGTCTGGACGATCTTCAGCTTCGACGAGCGGAAGATCATCATCCCGCCGATTTGGGTGGCGAAGGCTTCCATCGCGTTCATCAGCGCCCAGGGCTTGTTCGCAAACGTCTCGGCGGGCTGCGAGAAGATGTGCTCGTGTAGAGCGATTGCTTTGGTGGTTCGCTGATAAATTAGAATGAATAGATGAGTAGATGAATAGATGAACGGAAGCTTCACTTACTGAAGACATTCTGGTAATGATGTACTAAAATAATCAAGTAAAGGCGATGAGTAGGATGAGGGTGAATAAAGAGAGCAGAGCAAGTGGGGTTTATATGTTGAACGTAACTGTCGACTTCCTAGCAGCCGAAGGACTTGCCAATACAACCGGTCTGAACTCGTTCCCTGCGAGAAGTGCAGGGTACGACTTACAGGTACCTACGGAGTACCGGTCCCTGCGGGGTTGTTATCCCCGAGTCTGTACTACATATTAGTCTCGGCTTCTACAGTGAACAGCGAAAGTTGGTGATAAGAGTGATATTATTTTGAACATATATATATACATATATTTATATAAATAAATATATCAATAATAATGTACACTCTCTATTGAATACCTAATACCTAGGTAGATATAAATGTCCCTCTTCTCATCTGATAAGATTGTTTTATCTCCGAGGTACCTAGACTAGACCACTATTGGGTCTTCTGTCCGAGTATCGCCGGAAGTTAATTGTCTCCGACTACTCCTTACTTGCTTACATTAATGTTAGTTATGTATTGGTTTAATACTAGTAACTGGTAGAACTGAAAAAAAAATATTCATTAATCTATTAACATTAGAAAGCAGCAATATATCTAGTATAAGTTAGATGGGTATAGTATTCATGTCAGCCCCTCTCCTTCTCAATCAACGAAGTCAGCCGCCACTCTCTGCCCGGCTGGACAACCTGGATGACGCCCGTATCGACCCCCCAGTCCCTGAGGAATTCGTCCTCCATCTCCACCTTTTCCCGATCATAGTCGCCCCTTTCATAGTGTTTACCGACATGCTCCATCCGCTTGTCCCAGCTCATCGGGCCTTCAAACTCCTCTCCGCAGAACCCGCACCGACTGCGTGTCGGCGGCTGCCGTCGCTCGCGCCAGCACCGGTGATGCACGACGTCGAGACCCTGGTCGAATGTTTTCTGTTCTTCTTGGCTGGGGGAAGCACGGTCCGCGCGACCCGCCCAGGGGGAATGCATGCGGCGCTGGTGTTGCGTGAATAGGTCTTTGCGGTTGAAGTCATTGTATCGAAGCGCTGGTTTTTTTTCGGAAATGGAAGACGACGACGAGGAGGAGGAGGAGGAGGACGTGGACCGGGTGTGTACCGGGGACTTTTTCTTTTTATTGTTCTTCTTTGCTTGCTGCAGCTGCTCATCAATGTTGCATCCTTCAACATCGCAGCGGTAGAAGCCGAGCTGAAGGTGTTTGGTTGCGATGTGGCGCTTCCATTCATTCTTGAAGGGAAACACCTTGTCACAGCCGTAGTGGGCAAAACTGCAGACAAAGATTCGTGGAGCCTTCGATTTGGAGGAGGGAGAGGACAAGGGCGAGAAGGACGACGACGAGGAAGGAGAGGAGTTGGGTGTTATCGCCACTGCCTTCGTTTTAATGGCTGGTTGGGCAGCGACGGTGATGCTGCTGTTGTAGATACGGCGACGAGGGCGTTTTCCCACGCGGTGCTGCTGCTGCTGTTGCTGCTGCTTAGGACGGCTCTTTGTCGGCTGGCTGCGATGAGAGGAGGGAGGCGAGGCAGGGACCTTCTTCTTGACTGGCGATACTGGCGAGCGAAATTGACAGCCATGATCGGTCAGGTTCTTGGACATGGGAGGGGTCTCGCGCCCGTCCGTTTGGGAAGTGACCTGCACGCCAGTGCTATACTGCTCGACAGGCTGGGAGGTATTCGCGGCGAAGACCGCGACAGTCGAAGCCAAGCTGCCGCCATCGTGATGCTGATTCTTTTCCGGCCCCATGGTCGGATCTGGCAACATCTGGGTCAGCGATGGAGCCACGCCAGAGTACCCGTGCCCGCCCAGGTGCATGCCAGACACCACCTGGCCGTGAAAGCCTGCAGGGTCGACCGGATCGGCAGCGTATTCATGGTATAATGGCGAGCCTGCACCGTACGGAACCACCCCCTGGGGGCGAGGACTCCGCGGAGCCTCACTGCTACCGGGGGAGGACCCGTCAGCGCTGCAAGGTCGGTGCGAGAAAGACACCGGCGGATGGGAAGAAGGGAGCGGATAGACGCCGATCTCATCCCTTGCAATTCGAAAGCCACCATGGTATGTCCCAACTGGGTCGTCCTTCCACCGTTGAAGCCCGTCCTCTCTGCCGTGGTACTCCAGGCTAGAGAACTGGGGCGAAATCCGCTGGGAGTACCAGGGCTGGGAGACATGAAGCTCCCCGGCAGACGCCAGGATATCCGGATACTGTCCAGTGTTGTCCAATCCTAAGGAGTGGGGATGCATTTCACCATGGTTTTCGTAATTATATCTTGGTTGGCTACCCCAGGCAGGCGTAAGAGAAGCGTCCGAGAAAGCCAGCAGCACAGAATCCATGCCGTCGTGTTGGTGTTAAGTCGTGGAAACAAAAAGAAAAGAGAGAGAAGAATTTATATGCTAAGCTTGAGAGAGAGGAGAAAACACTTGAATGATCTGGTTATTAACGAAGGGTAATTGTATGTCGAGATGAGAAGTCTGTCTTCCATCCGCAGGAGTCGGAGTCAGGGTCAGCGCCAGAGAGCCTCCAATATATATACTTGCCAAAGCTGAGGACTGGGGCCACCCACGCCTATTCGCAGTCAATCCGATTGCATCTCCTTGGCTGGAGCACCCTTGTTGGCCCCAGCACAGCCAGACAAGCCAGATAAGGGAGGGGAGGGCGTGGTCATTGCATGGCTC